TCGTTTTATAGCATTTTCATCGTTCTGAGATATTTTTGGCTCTTTAGCTCTGTAGATTAAAAGATTTGAGCAGCAGATACTCTTCAAAGATGAGAAAATTAAAAGGGAATTGAATGGCTTATGGATTCTGGGATAGATCATTTGATATTTTTAAACTATTCTAATCTATGAGCGGTCCTGTTAAGGAAGGCCCATTGGACCCGCTCGTGGTTCACGCAAAGATGGCAGCTTTCGCATTGAAGATTGCACGTTTGTCACTACGCATGAAGGTTGTTATCCCACAGATTTCTCAAACATTCAACAATTTTCAAAGATTTCCTATGAAATTATGTAATTACAGACACATCTCATCGCAAAACTCTCTCGATAAATGACGTAAGAAACAGCAACGCAAATTTCAATTGCGCCCCTACGCAAATGGCACCAAATTGCAATAGAAATCTTTGCTATCATTTGAGGTTTGTTTTTGTGCTTTCTTTTAACAATAAGTGCTCCAAACACAAATTTTTGCAGATTCCGAACATTTGACGGCACCTGCAACAATCTTGAAAAACCAATGATTGGCTCAGCTTTTAGCGCTCTTATGAGATTAAAGACGCCCAACTACGATAATGGCCTCAATGCACCAACGTGTAAGTCGATCGTACCAAAACTAATTTTCTTCTACCTGAAAAAAGAAAAATGTTTATTTTATAGCGTCATTTTTGCGAACTCGCCCGTCGTCGCGCGATGCATCACGTCTTCTTCTTTCCTCGCCGTCGCAGGTCAGTAGTTTTATGTGAAAGCGGTAAAAGTTAACAATGAACGTGCGATTTCCAGATACCACACCATTCAAATGCACTTCTGATGCAGTGGGGACAATTTACAGCTCATGACATTGCTAAAACTACAATGTTGAACAACCAGGAGTGCGCCGCCTGTACATCGAATAAAGGACGATGCTTCTCGGTTTTCCTTTCGAGAGCTGATCCAACGTAAGTCCAATTTAAAGGTTTTATGGTAAGAAAATGCTTTCTTTGCAAAGCCGAGTAAAAAATGGTTTTCTGCGGTTTAATAATTACGCAAGACTGTCTAGTCAGCTACTGAAAATGTTGAAGACTGGATATGAGAAAAAGATTTTCTAAACTTGTTTTACATTAGGCCTTAAAGTAGCTCTGAGATGATAATGAGTTTTCTTGGATTTTAACTCTGTTAGTGGAGCAAGAGCGAGCAAAGGAATTGAAAGAAATGAACAAGAGGAGCAAACAACTTTCAACATCCTAATTCCCTTTCCGTTCCATCGATTTTAAAATTGATAGGAGTAATAGAATTCTGTAGGTATAGCATGCAGTCGTTTTAAGGTTTCGAAATGCATCGGACACATCAGCAGATTCCATATAATCACATAAATTTAGACGAATTTGTTGTAATGCAC